AATCGGAATTGCGGAAAGCGGATCAGTGGCTACGAATATTGTGGTGCTCGCGCCGTGGCCCTGGGTGCAAACATGCGGAGAAGTATTTCATCGACGACGTTTCGGGCGATGGTCCTTCTTCATTTGCTGAGCGGTTTTTTTTTTGGAGTGGGAGGGGAGGAGTGGTGGTTGTCTTCTGGATTTGAGCTTCAAATCACCGCCCCTCGTCACAGGCGGCAGATTGCGGGGAATGCGGTTCGAGTTTGTGTGTTTGTGTGTGAGTGAGTGAGCGTGTGTGTGTGTCGGGAGCGGTGGCGCAGCGGTTAGCGCTACGCTGCACTGCGAACCCAGCGACCCGAGTTCGATTCCCGCTCACGGCCACTGACACCGGTGACGATTATCTGAACCGGTCCTGGGCCTCCCCTAGGTCGACTCAGCCTTAAATCAGTACCTGGTGCAGTAGCGTGTAGTAAACATCGCCATTGGGGAGACAAAGGCGGCCGGGTGTGGTGCTGGCCACTAACCCCCTCATGTCCCCTTGCCGGCTTAACAGCACTTGTCACAAAAGTCTGTTACAGCTATACGGGGGGTCTTTGTCTTTCTCCTGTGTGTGTGTTGTGTGTGTGTTGTGTGTGTGTTGTGTGTGTGTTGAGTGTGTTGTTGTGTGTGTGTTGTGTGTGTGTTGTGTGTGCGTTGTGTGTGTGTTGTCTGTGCGTTGTGTGTGTGTTGTCTGTGTGTTGTGTGTGTGTTGTCTGTGTGTTGTGTGTTTGTTGTCTGTGTGTTGTGTGTGTGCTGTGTGTGTGCTGTGTGTGTTGTGTGTGTTGTGTGCGTGTGTTGTGTGTGTTGTGTGTGTGTTGTGTTTGATGTGTGTGTGTTGTGGTGTGTGTGTGTTGTGTGTGTGTGTTGTGTGTGTTGAGCGTGCCCCTATTGGCCTTTCGTGGAGCGGTGGCACGGTGGTTAGCGCACTGCGCTCTAAATCCCTTCACCCGAGTGGCGAATACATCTGGAGCGGTCCTGGGCCTCCGCAGGGTCAACTTAGCCCCCCAAAAAAATGTAGCACTGGAGAGACAAAGGCGGTCGGGCGTTGGTGTTAGCCACTCCGCACCCCCATCGGCGCTGCTGCTCGTCAACGCCACTTGCCCCGACGGTCTGTTCAAGGCTACACGGGGGACCTTTGTCTTTTGCGTTGGAGTCATTATGGTCTCGTTCCTAAGATACTTTCCATTGCTTCACAATCGGACCATCGATGGGATCTTAGAATGAGTGATGGGGAGGGAGGGGAGGGAGGGGAGGTGGAGGGCGGAGAGAATGAGGCACATTTTATTATTTATTTGACTACAAAGACAAAGATCCCCCGTATAGCCTGAACAGACTATCGGGGCAAGTGCTGTTCGCGAGCACCTATGAAGGCCGGCACGGCGCACGCGCGGACGTGGGTGGCCAGCACCACGCCCGGCCGCCTTTGTCTCCCACAGTGGCGATGTTTACTACACACCACTGCACCAGGTGCGTATTTGAGGCTGAGTCGACCTAGGGGAGGCCCAGGACCGGTTCAGATTAATCGTCGCTGGTGTTGGTGGCCGTGAGCGGGAATTGAACTCGGGTGGCCGGGTTCGCAGTGCAGCGCGCTAACCACTGCACCTCAAGCGCTCTCCCAGATCCCATTCGGCACCTCCGATTAGCACGGTTTGCGACGTACGGTGCGAAAGAAGTTCGACGTACACACGTACAATCCACCAATGCCGCGTGTGTGATTGCTTGCGTTGGCTGACCGACATGTGCGTTTGTGTACTTCGGGGAGACAAAGGGGGCCGGGAGCGGGTGTTAGCTGCCTACACCCACTCCCTTCCCTCATCCTCAGCACGTGCGCGTCGTGTCGGCCTTAATAGGCGCTCGCTAACAGCGTCCACCCCGCCAGCCAGACGAGTAAGTAGTGTGTTGCAGTAAGGTGAAACCGCGAGATGATGGTTGGAGCCTCTGTAATGGAGCCTTCTCGATGGCGTCACAGACTGGAGGTGGCACATGACACGCATTCCCACGGCGTCTGGAATGTGGAGGTTGCTGCTGCTCCTGTTGGAGACTTAGTCAGAAATTCCGAAAAGTCACGCACAGCCAAATAACACCGTGCGTGAGCCACCACCACCACCACCATACCACAACCACCACCACCATCATTACCGTCAGAGTGCAACCACCAACACCACCGTCACACGACAACCACGATCATCACGACCATCACCACTATCAACACCATCAATCACTTCCTGCGTTACTATCATTACTCGAACTTCCACCATCGCTATCACTACCATCGCTACCTCCATAACCATCACCGCTATCACTTCAATTGCCACTATCACCACCATCGTTATCACCTTCATCACTAACTCCATCACTATCACCACCATCACTATTACAACCACCATCATTATCATCATCTTCACTATCATCCTCACTATCATCATCACTATCACTACCGTCACTTCCAAATGTACAACTACCACCACCATTAATACAAAAACCACCATTATCACCACTTCTGCTACGATGTGAGTCAAGAGATGGCGGTGCAGAATGGGGATTCCTGAATCCAGTTGTGCGGGGCTTTCAGAGTTTCACCTCCTCCCACCCCCACCTCGTGCAGAGCGCAACGCATGGGTCACTCTCCTGATCCCTCCATCACGCGAAATCAAATCTCTCGTTCGTCGTGGAATTGGGCCAATCATCCCCACGTAGCAGCACCCTCGTGGCGACGCGCCTTGAGACTCAGCGAGGTGTTCCTGGGTAAATACATGACGTCATTGCCATGGTCGGCGTGGAGCGGTGGCGCAGCGGTTAACGCACTGCGCTACGAACCCAGCGACCCGAGTTCAACTCCCGGTCCACGGCGCTTTTACACACGCGCTCTCTCTCTCTCTCTCCCACACCTTGCACGAACGAGCATGGTGAAGTATGGTCAAATAAAGAAAGGCAAAGATCCCCCATATAGCCTTAATAGACTGTAGGGGCAAGTGCTGTTAGCGAGCTCCTATGAAGGCCAGAACGGCACACGAGGGGGGTGGGTGGCAAGTACCACGCCCGGCCGCCTTTGTCTCCCCAGTGACGATGTTTACATACCGCACCAGGTACTCATTTATAGGCTGAGTCGACCTAGGAGAGGTCCAGGACCGGTTCAGATAATCGTCACTGGTGTTGGCCGTGAGCGGGAATCGAACCCGTGTCGCCGGCTTCATAGCGCAGCGCGCTAACCGCTACACTACCGCTAGCCACTACAAACAAACCCCCCCACCACACCCCCCACACCCCCCACACACACCCTCCCCCCACACCCCCCCACACCCCCCCCCACACACCCCCCCCACACACACCCCCCCACACACACCCCCCACACACCCCTCCCACACCCCCCCGTACACACCCCCCCCCACACACCCCTCCCACACCCCCCCGTACACACCCCCCCCCCACACACCATCCCCCCACACGCCCCCCACACACACCCCCCCCACACACCCCCCCACAACCCCCCACACCCCCCCCACACACCCCTCCCACACACCCTCCCCCCACACACCCCCCCCCGCCCCCCCCCCCCACACACTCTACCGCCCGCACCTCCTCCCGTGCAGAACGAGGCCGTCATCCAGCAGTGGATTGACAGACGGCTCCCGGATAATTACGATTACCATCCATCCTCCACCTCCACGTCCATCACGAACAACCCCACGCATTCCTTCACTTGCGGCATCACGCGCGCACGGACTATTTTCTTGGCGCGTGGCCAAATCCGCCAATGACCAAATCATCCCCGCACCGCCGTCCCATCGGGTCGGATCTCACAAAAGCTAAGCAGGTTGCGGGCTGGGGGGGTAGAGCCTGGTCGTCCTTATTCGGGTGGGTGACAGGAGCGCGTGGATGGACCAATGGGCGGTTTTACCGGCAGCTTTCGTGCGGTCTCAGCGAAGGGCAGTGCAGCAGAAATCCATCCGCTCATCAAACTCAGACAACCGCTCACCCACCCATCTGCTCACATTGCCCACTGATCACCACGCAGCTACCTTCCTGCCCCCCCCCCACCCCATCTACGCATTTACCCACTCACCTACCCACTTAGTCACTCACCTACCCACTCACACAATCGCTCACTCACCTACCCACTCACCCATCCACCACGCAGCTACCTCCCACCACCCAACTCCATCTACGCATTTGCCCACTCATCTACCCACTCAGTCACTCACCTACCCACTCACACAATCGCTCACTCACCTACCCACTCACCCATCCACCACGCAGCTACCTCCTCCCCCACCCCATCTACGCATTTACCCACTCACCTACCCACTCAGTCACTCACCTACCCACTCACCCATCCACCACGCAGCTACCTCCTCCCTCACCCCATCTACGCATTTACCCACTCACCTACCCACTCAGTCACTCACCTATCCACTCACACGATCGCTCATTCACCTACCCACTCACCCATCCACAACGCAAACACAACGATCCCCCGTATAGCCTTAATAGACTGCTGGGGCAAGTGCCGTTTTCAAGCATCTTTCACTCATTTACCTACCTACTCACCACTCGTCTAACCGCCCTCCCACTCACCCATCTGCCCTCCTACCCACTCACCCAATCGCTCATTCACCTACCCACTCACCCATCCACAACGCAAACACAACGATCCCCCGTATAGCCTTAATAGACGGCTGGGGCAAGTGCCGTTTTCAAGCACCTATCACTCATTTACCTACCTACTCACCACTCGTCTAACCACCCTCCCACTCACCCACCTGCCCTCCCACCCACCCACACACACACTCACCGACCCGCTCACCGACAGATCCACTCACCCTCTCATCCAATTGCTTCTGGCTCACCCCGCCCACCCACCCACTCATCTATTCACCACCCATCTATCCACTCCTCACCACACCCCATCCCCTCCCTCCCATCTTCTCAACCACTCATCCGCCCCGGGGCCGCCGGTTCAACTGGGTCTGGCTGCGGGACAGGATTCGTGAGAGAGAAGAGTCGGGGAGGGGGAGAGGAGAAGGGAGGAAGGCCGAGAGGGAGCTAAAGCGGCTCACACGTGAACACAGGTGAGCTGATAACACTCATCTTCTTGGTTATTTCGGTAAAGTCACGTAGAAGGGAAATAATAAAATAAAAAAAACATAATAAAATAATTCTCCCGACGTTTCGGCCACAACGCAAGCAGCCGTCCTCAGGTGAAGACCAGGTCTGTCGGGGAGACAGACCTGGTCATTCAGACGCTGTCTCCCCGACAGACCTGGTCTTCACCTGAGGACGGCTGCTTGCGTTGTGGCCGAAACGTCGTGAGAATTATTTTATTATGTTTTATTTTTATTATTTTATTATTTCCCTTCTACGTGACTTTACCGAAAGAACCAAGACAGATGAATCCCTGCAGTCACGAAAGCTTTAAGTCGAAATTTAAAAGGCAAGAACTATTATGTATATAGTTTAGTCCTTGTTCAGGGTCTACTCGTCGTTTCTTGGCTTGTCTCTTGTACTCATTCAATGGGGCGTCTCTTGTCACTGTCCAGCAATATCTTCTCGTACGTCGAGTACATGGAGGCTTCGTGTTTAACACGTGGCAGGCTTTCGCGACCAGTATTATTCATAGTAAAGTTTTTCGGGTTAGATTGCGTTATTATAAATGCGTCGAAAACCCTCCACCACTCGACACGGCCAATCAGTGTTTGAAGAGTGACTCCACAATATTTACAATTTGAGTAGTACGACGTTTCGCTGGTAATCACATCCAGCATCTTCGGGCGATTCGCCAGGCTAGTGAAGCCCTCCCACCTGCTCCCGGTTTTAAAGAGTGCAGGGTGACGTCATCATTATATACGGAGTAGTAGCTCTTGGAATCTCTCATTTACTTGATACAGCAAGCGTGCTGTGACTGTTCCACCTGAAGACGGAAGCTTGTGTTGCCTCCGAAACGTCGTGATTTTTATTTTATTTTACTTTTATTAATTTAAAATTTTTTACCTAGGTGACTTTACCGAAAAAAACCTAAGAATATGACGTCATCATTGCTGAACCCCATCACATTTTGAGATCAGAGGCGGAGGTGGTGGTGGGGGTATTGTAATTATGTAATAGATCAGTAATCAGCTACTGAGCATGTGACTCCTCGAAAAGGAATTGCAAATGTGTTGTGCATTACTTAATAATACGCTTCCAGGCTGCGCCAAGTCTGTCGCTATCAGAGCGGTTAAATTAATTAGTCTTGGCCAGTAATAATTAGTTTTGCATAACACTTCAACGTTATCAAAATCAATTGAGTGTCCTTGTTGTCTAAGCATGCTCTGCCACTGCCGACAGTTGTGTTCGAGATAATTTAATGTCCCTTTGGTGTTCTTTGAGTCCGTACAACACCAAATGCCGTGGCTATAATCTGACCCGCTCCTGAGCCCTCCCCTAGGTCGACTCGGCCTCAAACGAGCACGCGGTGACGATGTGTAAACATCGCTACCGGGGAGACAAAGGCGGCCGGGCATGGTACTGACCTCACCACACCATCGTGTGCCGAGCCGACCTTTATCGGTGATATTCGCCAACAGCACTTGCCCCTTAAGACTATACGGGGTATCTTTGTCTTCGTGTGCGCGTGTGACACTTGACACACACACACGTGGACACACACAACAAAGACAAAGATCCCCCATATAGCCTTAACAGACTGTAGGGGCAAGTGCTGTTAGCGAGTACCTATGAAGGCCGGAACGGCACACGAGGGGATGGGTGGCCAGCACCACGCCCGATCGCCTTTGTCTCCCCAGTGACGATGTTTACTACACACCGCACCGGGTACTAATTTTAGTCTGAGTCGACCTAGGGGAGGCCCAGGACCGGTTCAGATAATCGTCACCACCGGTGTTAACCGTGAGTGGGAATCGAACTCGGGTCGCCAGGTTCATAGCGCAGCGCGCTAACCGCTACACTACCGCTCCCCACCGTGGACACACACACACACGTGTCCACACACAGACACTTGGCACACACACGTGTACACACACATGTACACACGTGGGCGTCTGTGTTGGTTCAGGGGCTCTGGTTAGGGTATCGGGTTTGCCAAATGTTCCCAACAAGGATGACCCTGTACAACCAGGTGGATTAAATATGCCCGGGTGGCAAGCGGCCAATGGCTCACTATTCAGCTCCGTATACACTCTCAATGTTCACAATGGCCAGCCTGTGTGTGTGTTTGTGTGTGAGAGAGAGAGAGACGCAGAGACAGCGAGAGCGAAAGAGAGAAATGGAGAGAGAGACACAGTTGGAGAGTGGTCTCAAAATATCGCTCTTCAAGAGGAGCGGAATTTCGCGCGCGATTGCGAAGTTTGGCCGACAATTTCAACATCGGCGGCAGACGATATCGATATTGTCTTTCGCGAACCTACTTGCTCTACTGCGACTGCATAGATCTGTCGTGGTGGTGTGCCCTGACGATGACGTTGATGGCGATGTATGAAAGCCAAATGGAATTCACGAGAGAGCCACAAAACGCACGCCCGTGAAAGGTTCCCCGAAATACTCGGTCGTGTTAATTCTAGACTTGAAGCTTTCGTGACTGCAAGGATTCATACTCTTAGGTTTTTTCGGTAAAGTCACGTAGGTGAAAAATGAAATTAAAAGTTAATAAATGTAATAATAGAAATAAAATAAAATAATAAATCACGACGTTTCGGAGGCAACACAAGTCTCCGTCATCAGGTGGGACCGTCACAGCTAAAATTACTGCATCGAGTGAGGAAAATTCGAAAAGACCAGCCCTTAAATACAAGTTAAGGGGGGAGGGGCTTATCTGAATGTGGTAACCAGGGAATGGAACATGGGGGTGGTGGGTGGGGCTACAAGAGAAATTGTTCAACGTCGACCTGTGCAAGACAACAATCGGTGTACCTCGACCTAAACCGATGTTGGTTGCCTCCAAAACGTCGTGATTTATTATTTTATTTTCATTATTACTTTTACTCGGACGTGTTCCCAGGTTGAGGTCTCCCGCCCTGAAGATTCTGGGGTCACGACCTCCTTGAATTCAGTGGTGCAGTAACGACGTTATCAGCTCAGGGGGGGATGCGGTAAGCGGGTCAGGTGTGGGGGCCCACAGTAATTGATTAGTCTTGCACGGTGGCACCTGGAGGCGATGGTTTTCTATCGCGGCATCTCTTGCCCTGATCGCATCGTCCGTCACTACGTTTCACGGTGTCGAACATTTAACGCTGTAGGGTGGCGCTCCGTCTTCGTAAGATGCAGCCACTGAACAGTTCCGTAGTGGTTAGCTCTTATTCGTTGGTTCTTGCGGTAAAGTCACGTAGATATAAACATAAAAATAAAGTGAATAAAAATTGGAAAATTAAAAAATACTGTAGGCTGGTTCTTAATCGGAGTGAGTGTACTGGCAGTCTATAGTGTAGACTGTAGCCTAGTTATTACATTTGGTGAGTGTACTGGCAGTCTATAATGTAGACTGTAGCCTAGTTATTAAGTTTGGTGAGTGTACTGGCAGTCTATAATGTAGACTGTAACCTGGTTATTACGTTTGATGAGTGTACTGGCAGTCTATAATGTAGACTGTAAGCTGGTTATTACGTTAGGTGAGTGTACTGGCAGTCTATAATGTAGACTGCAACCTGGTTATTACGTTTGGTGAGTGTACTGGCAGTCTATAATGTTACCTCGTTGCAATGTTACGTTATTTCTCTACTTAAATTTAATTAAAACGCGGCACGTAAACGAAAACACTGGTATGTATGGGTACCTGGGGGGACGTATGGATATCTGGGTGGTATGTGCATGCATATGCCAGCCATCTCAGTCAACCCATGGCACCTCGGTCTGTCCCGTGCCCTCCTGCCAGAGAGCCTTCGACACTGTGGCCTCAACGTGCACCTAGCCTGGCACAAGCGCCGTGGTGACGTCACCGCCACTTAGTGGCGAATAGCAGCTGTTGTTATGCTCTGTGCGTGTCTTCGTCTTTACACGTGGGGAGCGGTGGTGCAGCGGTTAGCGCTACGCTGCGTTACGAACCCGGCGACCCTAATTCGATTCCCGCTCACGGCCACCAACGCCGGTGACGATTATCTGACCCGCTCCTGGGTCTCCCCTAGGTCGACTCGGCCTTAAACGAGTACCTTGTAAGGTGTGCAAACATCGCCACTAGGGAGACAAAGGCGGCCGGGCGTGGTGCTGGCCACCCACGCCTCTCGATTGCCGTGCCGGCTTTCATCGGGGGACTCGTTGACAGCACTTGCCCCTAGAGTCTGCTGAAGGCTATACGGGGGATCTTTGTCTTTGGTGCGTAACCCGAGACCCCGATTCGTGTGGCTTTATTTGCAGGCTCGGGATTTGATGTGTCCGCTCTTGACGATCACCACGGTCTCTTCGCTCACCTAAACTCACCACTCACTCACCACGTCGCTCGCCTAATCTCACCACTCACCAACGCAGCTCACACTCACCAAACAAACTCTCACCGCCCCATTGTCCTAATATCGCCAACCACTCACTCACTCAACACGCCGCTTAACTCGTACCATCCCTTCGCAGTTCACAGCTCACGTAACCTCGCCACACACGCTGACACTACCACCAACAGCACCATCATCTTACCACATCACCAGCATCATCAGCACTACTACCAACAGCACCGGCATCTTTCCTCACTATCAGCATCATCAGCACTACCACCAACAGCACTACCACCAACACCACCATCATCATCATCAGCACTACCACCAACCTCACCATCACCACCACCACCATCATCATCATTATCAGCACTACCACCAACAGGACCATCTTACCTCACCACCATCACCACCATCACCACCATCATCACCATCATCAGCACTACCACCAACAGCAACAACATCTTACCTCACCATCATCACCATCATCACCACCATCACCATCATCAGCACTACCACCAACCTCCCCACCATCACCACCATCACCGCCATCAGCACACCACCAACCTCACCACCATCACCACCATCAACACTACCACCAACCTCACCACCATCACCACCATCACCACCATCACCACCAGGGTAACCTCACCATCACCACCATCACCACCATCACCAATCGTCACGCTACCATCACCACCATCACCATCAGCACTACCACCAACCTCACCATCACTACCATCACCACCATCACCACCATCAGCACTACCACCAACCTCACCACCACCACCATCACCACCATCACCACCACCACCACCATCATCACCATCACCACCATCACCACCATCAGCACCACCACCATCACCACCACCATCACCACCACCACCACCGTCGTCATCGCCATGACCCGCCGTCGCGGCCTCTGCGCCCTCCCGCGGCCTCGCGCGCGCCTCCTGTGGCTGCTCGCGCTCGGGGCCGGCGCGAGCCTCATCTACCTGCAGTGCACAGGTGAGGTGGGGGGAGGGGCTGCGGGGGAGAGGGGGAGGGGCTGGGGGGGGGAGGGGGAGGGGCTGGGGGGAGAGGAGGAGAGGCTGGGGGGGAGAGGGGGAGGGGCTGGGGGGAGAGAGGGAGGGGCTGAGGGGGAGGGGCTGAGAGGGGAGGGGCTGGGGGGAGAGTGGGAGGGGCTAGGGGGGAGAGAGGGAGGGGCTGAGGGGGAGAGAGGGAGGGGCTGAGGGGGGAGGGGCTAGGAGGGAGAGAGGGAGGGGCTGAGGGGGAAAGAGGGAGGGGCTGAGGGGGGAGGGGCTGGGGGGTAGAGGGGGAGGGGCTGAGGGGAGAGTGGGAGGGGTAGAGGAGGGGGAGAGTGGGAGGGGCTGATAGGTGAGTGGGAGGGGCTGGCCATTTGTGAAAAAGAGCTTTATAGCTCATCGGATTTCTCCAGTAGAAATAAATATTCTGATTCTGGCTGACGGGAAGTATGGCAGGGGCTGAAGGGGAGGGGGAAAGTCAGGTGTGTCTGATGGGAAGGTGAGGGGGTGACGGGAGGTGAGGTGACGGGGGTGAGAGGGAGGGTGTGAAGGGGGGGGGGGTGATGGTCATGGGGAAGAAATTGCGATGTGGGGGTAAGGGGCCGTCCATAAATGACGTCACGCGATTTTGGACGATTTTTGACCCTCCCCCCTTCGTCACACGACGTCACAAAAAGTTAGACCCCCCCTCAAATATGACGTCACAAAGCTCTGCCCCCCCCCAAATAAAACATGCTTCAAATCGCTTTAAACTATTGTCATTGTAGTGCGTATTTAATGTGGCGCTGCACTCTGATGTTGTAGGAGAAAACATTTATAAAAAAGTCGATTTAATTAAGTAGAACGTGTTGTCTATATGTATTTAAAATTGCGCATTTTGATGTGACGTCACATTTCTCACCCCCCCCCCCACCCCTCGTCACACAACGTCACAAATGTCTGACCCTCCCCCCCGCCCAGGTGCGTGACGTCATTTATGGACGGCCCCTAAATTGAGGGGGTGGTGAGGGTGATGGGTGGGTAAGCGACACGATCTGGAGGGTAGTGCCAAGTGTTCATAGTCGGGGGCGATGCCGCCAGTTCTGTGATGGATTACCAAACTAAACTAAACTATTTTTATGTTACCAGATATGGCTCGCTGAGCTATAGAGCTATTTGTCAGATGCGATAATAACCATAAATAACAGCTCAACGAAGTGCTTTATCGCATGTTGATTATAAACGTGGAGGGAGGAAAGCGGAGGACCCAGAGAAAAAACAATCCACGCTGCCAGAGAAAGGCAGACTCCACACACACAGGCGGCGTCAGGGTCAGGATCGAACCCACGACCTCCTGTACACCAGGCGAGGTAGTTAACATCTCCTAGCCACCGTGATGATGATGAGAGAGAGAGACACCGCAAACTCCAAATATACAGCAGCAGGCGTCAGGGTCGGGGTCGGGATAAAACCCCACGGCCTCCTGTACACCAGGCGAGGTAGTTAACATCTCCCAGCCACCAGCGTCGTCGATTCCCGCTCACGGCCACCAACACCAGTGACGATTATCTGAACCGGTCCTGGGCATCCCCCAGGTCGACTCAACCTCAAATGAGTACCTGGTGCATTGCTTGAAAATTTTCCACTAGGGAGATAAAGGCGGCCAGGCGTGGTGCTGGTCACCCACCCCCTCGTGTACCGTTCCGGCCATTCATAGGTGCTCGCTAACAGCACTTGCCCAAAACCTATTTCGAGGCTATACGGGGGATCTTTGTCTTTGTTTTCTATAAATGCTGCAGTATCGACAAGTATTTTATTGGCTATAGCACATCGAGTTCTCCACTGTTGAAGCAATATCACTATCAATGCGGGCACGTTGTAAACACAACCCTGGACATGAGCCACGCACAAAGACAAAGGTGCTCCCTCCCCGCCAGCCACGAGTATAGCCTTCACACGTTGTTGGGGCAAGTGCGGCGATGAAAGCCAGCACGGCACACACACACCCACAATGGGGTGTTGTGGCCAGAGGCGCCACTCACAACCGTCTTTGTTTCCCCAGTGCTGATCTATTCCGCACCAGGTACTCGTCAGGTGCTCATTTAACGCTGAGCAGACCTAGGGGGTAAACCCCAGGGGTGGCTTTAGTTATTCGCCACTGTTTTTGGCCGTGAGCTGGAATCGAACTCGGGTGTTGTTGTTCGTATTGCGGTGCGCCAACCACCGTACCACCGCTCCCCACGAACCCCATACACTGGTACACCAATGGTACACGTGGGCATGCGAGCGTGATTTTCCAGGGGGATTGCAAAATCCTATTAGAGGAGATTACAAACACTACAGCGGCGATCCAGCGCCCCGTTGCATCACCGTCAGCTGATGATACATCACGATGATGATGATCATCAGCTGCAACAACACTGCCGTACCAGTATCAGAATGTTCCAGATCATCAGCAGCAGCAGCAGCGGCAACACGAAGAGCAGCTTGAGCTACATCATCAGCAGCAGCAACAGCATAATCATCATCAGCTAAACCACTGCGCCACCGCTCCCCACGAACCCCACACGCGCTGATGCACGTGCGCACGTGGGCGTGATTTGAGAGGAGATTGCAAAACCCCTCCAATCCTCGACGAAGCGCCACCGTCATTACATTTATAGCTGCCTGTTATTAAATGCGACCTTGCAACTCGGCAACAAAGACATGTTAGAATGTGCGCGCGCGCGCGTGTGTGTGTTCTAAGTAGCGTATGTGTTCAATTGTCTAGTAGCGTATGTGTTCAATACACACACACACACACGTGCGCGCGCGTGTGTTTGTGTGTTCTAGTGGAGAGCGGCGGTGTAACGGTTAGCGCGCTGCGCTACGAACCTGGCGACCCGAGTTCGATTCAAGCTCAGGGCAAACACCCAGTGGCGATTATCTGAACCGGTCATGGGCCTCCCCAAGGTCGACTCAGCCTCAAATGAGTACCTGGTGCGGTGTGTATACATCGCCACGAGGGAGAAAATGCGGCCGGGCGTGGTGATGGCCACCCACCCCTCTCGTGTGCCGTGGTGGCCTTCATCGGGGCTCGCTAACAGCACTTGCCCCAGCAGTCTGTTAAGGCTATACGGGGGATCTTTGTATTTGTCTTTGTTCTGGTAGCGTATGTGTTCAATTGTCTGGGTGCATGCGCGTGTGTGTGTGTGTGTGTTCTGGTCGTGCAGTGTGTAAACATGGTCTTCATATGTGCTTGCTAACAGCACTTGCCCCAACAGTCTGATGCAGCTATACGGGGCATCATTGTCTTTGTGGTTGTGAATGTTGATAACCACGTTATTTCTGCTGATGATCTGGTAACTGCTGTCCATTCTAAGAAATTGGAGACTCTACTGTTGAGCCTGGAGAGTGCCACTAAGAGATGGGGCCTTACCATCAGCCCCACCGAAACAAAGCACCACCATCATCAAATACTCTACCTCTCAACTCCCCATGGGTGATGGGCCAGTTGTGGAGAAAGTAGAAGCGTTCCCATGCCTGGGCAGTTCCGGTTTGACAGCAGAGGTCTCACTCCAAATCAGTCGGGCAGCATTATATTTTCGTCGGCTGCGTAACGCTGCTGTGTGGAAGCTACCTGGCCTGTCGCTCCACACGAAGCTTCGGGTCTTCTCGGCCACAGTCTCTACGCTTGCGACACGTGGACCCCTGTTACAGAAACATCTGCGCCGATTTGAAACGTTCAGGCTGGCCTGGTCTACGATCCATCCTGGCTTTAACCAGACTGAATTGCAGTGGGAGAAGCTCGCAGATGATTGAGAGATCTGGACGGTCCCCATCCAGTGCCGAATGAAGCTAATGCGGGGTCTGTAGCATATGTTATAAAGGGGCCCTAAATACATAAAACCACGTCAATATTAAAACACATTTTTTACTTGCATAGTAAAGTAATTGTATGTTTTAATTTGCTATACAGCCAGAAAATACGACAAATCGCGAACCTTAAACACCCAGTCGTTTATAAAAGTTGAAGGCGGTATAGTACTATAGTAATAGAGCAAGTGCACTGAACCGGAATTGATAGCTTGATATGCAAATTCCTTTGTCAAGGCGCCCATCCTCCCCTAAGGTAGCTTAAATATACGCTGCCAAGCTTGGTGGTGTTCATTCAGACGCTGTCTTTCCGACAGATCTGTTCTTCACCTGATGACGGCTGCTTGCGTTGTGGCCGAAACGTCGTGAGAATTGTATTTTATTATGTTTTATTTTTATTACTTTATTATTTCCCTTCTACGTGACTTTACCGAAAGAACCAAGAAGAGCTTGAAAGCATTTAACGCGGGGCCCTTGAAAGTGCGGGTCCCGTAGCTACTACATATGTAGTAGCTACATATGTAGTAGCTACATATGTAGTAGCTACATATGTAGTAGCTACATATGTAGTAGCTACATATGTAGTAGCTACATATGTAGTAGCTACATATGTAGTAGCTACATATGTAGTAGCTACATATGTAGTAGCTACATATGTAGTAGCTACTATATACATGTAGATACTTTTGCTACTCGGATCATCCGGCAGGCGAGGGCTGCGTCGGCTGGGCCATGGAGCCCGCATGCTCAGCCACCGCATGGCCAAGCAGCTTCTGTTTGGCGGGATAGAGTGGGTGGGGGGGGTGTCACCATCGCTATCTCTATCATCATCATCATCATCGTCGTTACAATTATCATCGAAATATAAAGATCCTCCGTATAGCCTTACCGTACTGTCAGGGCAAGTGCTGTTGGGAAGAGCGTCTATGAAGGCCTGGACGGCACACGAGGGGGTGGGCGGCCAGCACCACGCCCGGCCGTCTTTGTCTCCCTCGTGGCGATGTTTTCACACTGCACCAGGTACTCATTTGAGGCTGAGTCGACCTAGGGGTGGCCTACAACCGGTTAAGATAATCGTCATCGGTTTTGGCCGTGAGCGGGAATCGAACTCGAGTCGCCGGGTTTGTAGCGCAGCGTGCAAACCGCTACAACGCCTGCTCCCCACTAATTATTCATCCTCATCACCAGCAACCACCATCCTCAATCATTATCATCATCATTGTCGTCACCATCATCGTCACCGTCATCATGACGACCGTTCTCATAATCGTCGCCATCATCCACATGATTGTTATCATCATCATCATCAGCATCCTAAATAATAATACAAATCATCGTCATCATCATCATCCTAATCAGCATCGTTCCCTGTGCGTGGCTCACCACAGGTTCCCATCTCTCGGCTGTGGATTCCACTGCTGAACTCGAGGCGAGGGCTGCAGAGGTGGACTCTGGGGGTGTCCAGGATCATCAGCCGGTGATACATCATGGTCATCATCATCATCATCAGCAGCTGCTGCAACAGCAGCAGCAGTATCATCATTATCAGCAGCAGCAGCAACAGCAGCTGCTACACCACCAGCAGCGGGACTTTCAGAAGCAGCGGAAACAGCAAGAACAGATTCAGCAGCAGCAGCAGCAACATCAGCATCAGCAACGACATCAACAGCAGCAGCAGGACACTCAAGATCAGAGGCCGCAGCAACAGCAACAACATCATGATCAGCAGTATCCTCATCATCAGCAGCAGCACCAGCTGCAGCAGTATAACCATCCTGAGCAGGAGACCCAGGAGGAGAGGCTGGCGCTCCTTCACGAAGCCTGCTCTAGGTTCTCGTTGAAGCCAAACGTCGCTCTTGCACGACCACCATCCTCCTCCTCCTCCTACATCTTTCACCTGCCCCCACGGTCCGTCGCGTCGCGCATCTTCGTGAGCGACCGCCTGTCGCTGCTCTACTGCGAGGTGCCCAAGGCGGGCTGCACCAACTGGAAGAGGCTCCTGATGGTGTTGGAGGGTCGTCATCCCGGCCCCCCGGAGGTCATCTCGAGGGAGGAGGCTCACTCGAGCGGAGCGCTGGTGCGCCTCGATTCTCTCGAGCCGAGCGAGCAAAGGTTTGGGATGAGCAGCGGCTCGTTGGTTCGTGGATGTGTTCTTGAGCGCTGTTTGGTGCAAAAGATGCAATTCAAAGTGCTGCACAGGTCAAATAAAACATTGTTAAATGACTAAACGGCAAGAGAAATTATAGCAATTTCCAGACTTCAGGTGGACGGAAGCTTGTGTTGCCTCCGAAACGTCGTGATTTTTATTTTTATTTTATTTGACTTTTATTAATTTTAATTGTAAATTTTTACCTACGTGACTTTACCGAAAAAACCTAAGAATAAAAAAACAAAGACGCGTTATGATAAATTGTTAGCAAAGGCATGTTCAAAAAAGAAAATCAACACTATAAAACAATCTTCAGTAAAATCAAGTTAAAAAAGGTACGTCTTTATATTCAACTTCAAATGGCTTCACGATTGCGAGGCGCTGAGGAGGGTCCCCTGGCAGGCTGGTCCCCAGACGAGGACTGCCCAAGCTGCAGGCCGCCGTCTCCGTGAGTTTTGGTCCTGGCCCTTGGAGCGACTAAAAGACCGGAACCAGCGGCTCTGAGGGATCTTGTTAGTTCATATCTTAAAAGCGGGTTGTGTGCATGTTGAACCTCTTTCGCGCCGTACGGATCCAACCGTGATAATCGGAGGTTCGGGGGTGGAGGACAACAAGCTAAACACAAAAAAGCAGCTTTAAAGGAATTCGTTTTCCAATCATGGATTTAAAAGTGCATTGTTGATGGGACGTCACGGTGGCTAGGAGATGTTAACTCCCTCGCCTGGTATGGAGGAGGTCGTGGGTTCGATCCCGACCCTGATGCCTGCTGTATATTTGGAGTTTGTGTGTCTCTCTCTCTCATCATCACCACGGTGGCTAGGAGATGTTAACTATCTCGCCTGGTCTGCAAGAGGTCGAGGGTTCAATCCCGACCCTGACGCATGCTGCTATATATTTGGAGTTTGTGTGTCTCTCTCATTATCATCACGGTGGCTATGAGATGTTAACTATCTCGCCTGGTATGCAGGAGGTCGTGGGTTCGATCCCGACCCTGACGCCTGTTGTATATTTGGAGTTTGCGTTGTCTCTCTCTTTCATCATCACGGTGGCTATGAGATGTTAACTACCTCGCCTGGTATTTAGGAGGTCATGGGTTCGATCCCGACCCTGACGCCTGCTGTGTATTTGTAGTTTGCGTGTCTCTCTCATCACCATCACGGTGGCTAAGATATGTTAACTACCTCGCCTGGTCTATAGGAGGTCGTGAGTTCGATCCCGACCCTGACGCCTGCTGCTGCATATTTGTAGTTTGCGTGTCTCTCTCTCTCTCATCATCATCACGGTGGCTAGGAGATGTTAACTACCTCGCTTGGTCTTTAGGAGGTCGTGGGTTCGATCCCGACCCTGACACCTGCTGCTGTATATTTGGAGTTTGTGGTGTCTCTTTCTTGTGTGGTCGCGTGGATTTTTCTCCAGGTCCTCTGGTTTTCCCCTCCACATTTAGAATAAAAATCACGCGTTTAGAGTATTTGACTGCTATAAATGTCCACGTGATCATGGTAAGCCACTTCGTTGAGCTATCATTTGTAGACAGGTCGCATCTGAAAAAGAGCTACATAGCTCAGCGGACGTTAAAATAAAATTAGTTTAGCTTTTTAGTTTTTCATTTCAGTCTCTCTGTGAGTGGTCCTTACTCGTCCCCTCTCTCGTCGAGCGCAATAGGAGAATACTGATCGAAAGCGGCACGTTAATAGTTTTAATTACTATGATTACATCCTACTCTTGCACATTATTAAAAAAAAGTTTTGCTGGCTGGCCGACCTCCTGCGTTGGAGGGATGGACGTACGGACGGTGGGTCACGCCCAAAGGACGTGTGGCCTCATGGTTAACATCATTTGACGAGAACTGGCGCATTCCACCATCACTTGCACCTCCCATTAGCACGGGTGGATACGTACGGTGCGAAATAAGTTCAACATACATACACCACTGCCCATAGACTCAGCACTGCCCATAGACTCAACACTGCCCATAGACTCAACACTGCCCATAGACTCAACACTGCCCATAGACTCAACACTGCCCATAGACTCAACACTGCCCATAGACTCAACACTGCCCATAGACTCAACACTGCCCATAGACTCAACACTGCCCATAGACTCAACACTGCCCATAGACTCAACACTGCCCATAGACTCAACACTGCCCATAGACTCAACACTGCCCAAAGACTCAACACTGCCCATAGACTCAACACTGCCCATAGACTCAACACTGCCCATAGACTCAACACTGCCCATAGACTCAACACTGCCCATAGACTCAACACTGCCCATAGACTCAACACTGCCCATAGACTCAACACTGCCCATAGACTCAACACTGCCCATAGACTCAACACTGCCCAAAGACTCAACACTGCCCAAAGACTCAACACTGCTTATATACTCAACACTGCCCATAGACCCAACACTGCGTTTATACTCAACACTGCTTATAGACTCAACACTGCCCATAGACTCAACACTGCCCATAGACTCAACACTGCCCAAAGACTCAACACTGCCCATAGACTCAACACTGCCCATAGACCCAACACTGCGTTTAGACTCAACACTGCCCATAGACTCAACACTGCCCATAGACTCAACACTGCCCATAGACTCAACACTGCCCATAGACTCAACACTGCCCAAAGACTCAACACTGCCCATAGACTCAACACTGCCCATAGACCCAACACTGCGTTTAGACTCAACACTGCCCATAGACTCAACACTGCCCATAGACCCAACACTGCGTTTAGACTCAACACTGCCCAAAACCTCAGCACTGCCCACAAACTCAACACTCCGCACCTCCGATTAGCACGGGTGGCTACGTACGGTGCGAAAGAAGTTCAACATTCATGCATACACCACTGTACAGAGACTCAATACTGCCCATAGACTCACCACTCCTCACTTACGATTAGCACGGTCCGCTACGTACCGTTGCGAAAGAAGGCCAACATACTTACGTACAGGTGGTGCGAGCTGGCTATTGCAGGGTTGCGGCTTTACCGCAGGTGGAGGCTGCAGAACTACACGAACGTGCTGTTCGTGCGCGAGCCGATGGAGCGACTCGTGTCCGCCTTCCGCGATAAACTTCAGCGACCCAACCCCTACTACCAGGTACGAGTGTCAGTGTGTGTCAGTGTGTGTGTGTCAGTGTGTGTGTGTGTTAGTGTGTGTATCAGTGTCATCTCGGTTATCTCGGTCAGTTGACCCGTGGCAATTGGGTCTGCCCCGTGACCTCCTGCCAGCGGGCGTTCGACACTTCACGTGGCAGCCTCAAGGTGCACTTGGCCTGGCACAAGCGTCGTGGTGACGTCACCGCCACTTAGTGGCGAATGGCGGTTGTTGTTGTTGTGTGTCAGCGTGTGTGTGTCAGCGAATCCTGGCGACCCGAGTTCGATTCCAGCTCACAGCCAAAATCAGTAATGATTATCAAAGATAAAGATCCGCCGTATAGCCTTGGCAGACTGTTGGGGCAAGTGCCGTTAGCGAGTGACGTCGCCACGGCGCTTGTGCCAGGCCATGTGCACGTTTCAGGCCACGTGGAGTGTCGAACGCCCGCTGGCAGGAGGTCACGGGACAGACCCAGCAGGTGCCACGGGTCGACCGACTGGCCGATCCACCACCTGTGCCCCCTACACAGACAATGATCCCCTGTATAGCATTGACAGAATGTAGGGGCAAGTGCTTTTAGCGAGCATCTACGAAGGCCGGAACGGTACACGAGGGGGTGGGTGGCCAGTACCACGCCCGACCGCCTTTGTCTCCCCAGTGGCGATGTTTACACGTCGCACCAGGTACTCATTTGAGGCTGAGTCGACCTAGGGGGAGGCCCAGGACCGAGTTCAGATAATCTTCCCCTACACAACAACAACAACCGCCATTCTCCACTAAGTGGCGGTGACGTCACCACGACGCTTGTGCCAGGCCATGTGCACCTTGAGGCTACCACGTGAAGTGTCGAACGCCCGCTGGCACGAGGTCACGGGGCAGACCCAGCAGGTGCCACGGGTCGACTGACCGAGATGACCAACAGACACGCAGACACACGCACGCGCGTGCCCTCACTTCACCCCCCCCTACTTCCACCTCTCTCACCCCCCCCCCCCCAGTCCACCGTCGGCCGCTCCATCATCTCGCGCTACCGCCGGAACGCAAGCGCCGAGTCCCTGCGCACGGGACGCGACGTCACCTTCGGCGAGTTTGCGCGCTTCCTCCTCGACCCGCTGCGCCCGCCCGGCTCCGACGACCCCCACTGGGAGGCTGCTCACCGCCTCTGCCTGCCCTGCGCCCTCCCCTACGGCTTCGTGGGCAAGCTGGAGAGCTCGCCGCAAGACTCGGACGTCCTCCTCCGCCGGGCTGGGGCGCCGCGCGGGCTCGCGTACCCGCAGGCCGCGAGGGGCCGTGGCGGTGGCCGTGGCCGTGAGTCGTCGGTGTCGCTCGCTGTGCAGTACCTGTCGCGGCTGAGCGCGGCCACTCGGCGCGCCCTCTACGCCGCCTACTACCGCGACTACGCCTTGTTCGGGTACCCGAGGCCGGCCGCTGTGCGGTGACGATTTGTGTCGGCGGTGCTGCTGGCGGTGGCGCTGCGGCAGAGGTCGCAATCGGGTACCCGATACCCGTACCCGACCCGATACCCTGGTGCAGCCGGGTACGGGTACGGGTAGGCCGTGAGTTACTGGTGAGTCACCGTTTGTCACTCATTTCCCAACGTCTTGTCTCTTCTCACAATTCAAGATCCTAGAATCAACCCACCCGCACCTGCAACATGGCTTCATCCCAGAGGTCGCAATCGGATACCCGTACCTGTACCCTACCCGATACCCGGCCGGGTACGGATAGCCGGGTATCGGGCCAGGAACGGGTAGCCGGGTATCGGGCAGGGTACGGGTTCCCGATTGCGACCCTGGTGTGGCCGGGTTCGGGTAAGGAATCAAAACCCGTTTGCGACCTCTGCGCTGCGGTCACGGCCGCTGACACCGGTGACGAATTATCTGCACCGGTCCTGGGCCTCTTCCCCCCCCCCTAGGAAGACTCTGGTGCGGTGTGTAAATATCGCCGCTGGGGAGACAAAGGCGGCCGGGCGTGGTGTTGGCCACCCCACCTCCTCGTGTGCCGTGCAGGCCTTCATAGGTTGCTGCTCACTAACAGCACTTGCCTCAACAGTCTGTTGAGGCTATACGGGGGATCTTTGTCTTTGGTGGTGGTGGTGGTGGTGTGACGGCCAGGGCGTTTGGTTGAATGAGTGGTTTCTCATTCGGTATGGCGAATACAAAACATATCATCCGTACCGTGAATGCCACGTGTTGGCTCGGGTCAAATACGGCAGTGGAAAATGCCGTGTTATCGATTGACTAGTCTCTAACGGAGGACTCTATAGACGAGGGGTCGGCAAATAAAATAACAACATACTCTTTGGTTCTTTCGGTAAAGTCACGTAGATAGAAAATTAATAGATCACGACGTTTCGATCGCAACACAAGCAACCGTCATCAGGTGAGACCAACACAGAGAACAGGTTGAACAACTAAATATGTCACGCGTGCCAATACGAGACAGTGGTGGTCCTTCATTAATAACGATCACGCAGCGGCCCTTAATGAGCCGCACGGACCTCCAGAGCCGCAGATTGCCGACCCCTGCCCATGGTAAACTGGACTTCCATGGTGAACTGGACTTCCATGGTGAACTGGACTTCCATGGTGAACTGGACTTCTATGGTGAACTGGACTTCTATGGTGAACTGGACTTCCATGGTGAACTGGACTGCCATGGTAAACTGGACTTCCATGGTGAACTGGACTTCCATGGTGAACTGGACTTCCATGGTGAACTGGACTTCTATGGTGAACTGGACTTCCATGGTGAACTGGACTTCCATGGTGAACTGGACTTCCATGGTGAACTGGACTTCCATGGTGAACTGGACTTCTATGGTGAACTGGACTTCCATGGTGAACTGGACTTCCATGGTGAACTGGACTTCTATGGTGAACATGGTGAACTGGACTTCCATGTTGAGCTGGACTTCCATGGTGAACTGGACGTCCATGGTGAACTGGACTTCTCATGGTGATCTGGACTTCTATGGTGAACTGGACTTCCATGGTGAACTGGACTTCCATGGGAACTGGACTTCCATGGTGAACTGGACTTCCATGGTGAACTGGACTTCCATGGTGAACTGGACTTCTATGGTGAAACTGGACTTCCATGGTGAACTGGACTTCTATGGTGAACTGGACTTCCCATGGTGAACTGGACTTCCATGGTGAACTGGACTTCCATGGTGAACTGGACTTCTATGGTGAACTGGACTTCCATGGTGAACTGGACTTCCATGGTGAACTGGACTTCTATGGTGAACTGGACTTCCATGGTGAACTGGACTTCCATGGTGAACTGGACTTCCATGGTGAACTGGACTTCCATGGTGAACTGGACTTCCATGGTGAACTGGACTTCCATGGTGAACTGGAGTTCCATGGTGAACTGGACTTCTATGGTGAACTGGACTTCCATGGTGAACTGGACTTCTATGGTGAACTGGACTCCCATGGTAAACTGGACTTCCATGGTGAACTGGACTTCCATGGTGAACTGAACTTCCATGGTGAACTGGACTCCCATGGTGAACTGGAGTGGCCTGGTAAAATGTACTTCTATGGTGAACTGGAGTCCCACGGTAAACTGGACTTACATGGTGAACTGGACTCCCATGGTGAACTGGACTCCCATGGTGAACTCGACTTCCATGGTAAACTGGACTCACACAGTAAACTGGAGTCCCATAGTGAACTGAACTCCCATGGTGAACTGAACTTCCATGGTCAGGGATCGGCAACCAACGTAACAAGAAGAGCCACTTTTTTTTCGAATTTCAAGATCCGCGTGTGGATCCGAAGCCGTGTAGGTTGCCGAACCCTGCCCATAGACAGACCCAGTCGCTGGTGGAGCCGTAGACTCCTCTCTGTAGCCGCAGAGGTGAATTCATCCTTGCCAAGGAGTCATATTTGCTAATCATTACGGGGTTCTGATTTGGGAATGCAATTGCTTCATCGATTGTCTTCGTGCGTGCCAAAGTTGCTTATCCACTATAACACAACGTTACCTTTTATTACAAATTAAAGTTATAAAGACGATGTTGCCATAGCGGTGGTGTGTTAACGGTGAGAACGCCGTCGGGGAGGGAATCTTTAATCTCCCACGCCCACAACCCCCCACCGCAGTACACGTGAGTGAGATAAAGCGTGGGTGCTCGCTCGCCTCTTTCAAGTCGTCTCGCTGGCCGTGGAAGAGTAGGCCAAAACGCCCTCCGCTACTCGAGAGGCTCTCCAATGGAGACCGCTTCATGCCAGCGGTGGAGTGAGCGAGCTATTGCAGGGCTGCGCCTTTAACTTGGTTAAAGGTCAAATGCTGTGAGCCCCGCGATCGAGGAGTTCGATTACGGACAGCGTGGTCACCTGATTCCGCCGCCTCCTCGCTGCATTTTGTTTAATACGCAGGATCTTGTTCTTCGAAGTCACGTGAAGGGAATAAAGAATAAAATAAAAATAATAATATCTCACGCTTTCGGCCACACCAGCAGCCGCTCAGTCAGTCTCAGGCGACCAACGCCTGTTTTACGGAACAGAGCCTCGACGGACCTGTTTCACCTTGACGCGCTTCGTTTGCCGAACGTCGTGAGATATTTTTTTCTGTTTATTTTTTATTTTCTACTTCCTCTACACTTTCCGAAGAACATATCTCTCGCTGCACCTGTGCATATCACGGTGACATTGGTCAAACAACTCGTTTCGACGGGGACCACGTGGGGAACGCCTTCATCCAGCAGTGGATTGATGGAAGGGGTTGTGAACCTTGGTATTTTTTTACGTAACGAAAAATAGTCCACAAATTTATCGAGACTCTGTGTATATGTGAATGGTAATATAAGAAGCGTGTGGTATGAATTTTACGAACCATTATTTATTTTAACGTTTGTTAGTGGAATGTGATCTGAATCATTGTATCCTCCATTACAAATAAATTATGAGATTATAAACGAATGTCCCAATTGCGATGCGTGTCTCTGGGTCCCGATGTTGTAAATGTGCCCGTGGGTAAGACTCAAACGAGACCATCATCACGAGCACACAGCACAGAGGGCGTGTAAAGTGGCTTTTGGCAATCCAGTACTCACGTTCTGTAGATCCTGATGAATGTCAGATTTGCCCCATCACTTCTTTCCCTCTCTCTCTCACACCACTTCCTGCTCTCCACTGAACTGCGGGCGACGTGCTAACGAGGTTGAGGCAGGAAGTGAGGAAGGTAAACCGTGAGGAGGTGGATGGAGTGAGAGATGAGGAGGTGGAGGAGGAGGAGGTGGATGGAGTGAGAGATGAGGAGGTGGAGGAGGAGGTGAATGGAGTGAGAGTTGAGTGAGGGAGGTGGAGGGTCACAGGGAGGGAGGAGGGGGTGGAGGGGGTGGAGTGAGGGAGGTGGAGGGTCACAGGGAGGGAGGAGGGGGTGGAGGAGGTGGAGTGAAGGAGGTGGAGGGAGGTAGGGAGGGAGGATGGAGGTGGAGGGGTGAGGAGGAGGAGGCAGGTAACCGGGGTAACGGTGAGGAGGAGGAGACAGGTAACTGGGTAACGGTGAGGAGGTGGGGCTCTATAACAGTAGAGCGGTCCAGAGGGAGGCGATGGTACAGTGAATGAACGGAGGCGTTCCTACAGGGAGTCAGACATCATATATATATATATAGCCCTGTAGGTACAGCAGTAGGGATACACAGACCTGTATCGACCTGTCCGGATAGAGTTGTCTTCACATAGACGTGTAGACAGAGCTGTCTAGGCAGACACACCTGTAAAGACGGACACACACCTGCAGCAATGGACGTGTAGGTGAAGACCTGCACACTTCAATGTAGAGCTGCAGAGATATCCGGAGAGAGAGATAGTTTTGATTGAAAATACAAAATCGACGAGTCTATAACATAGTGCGATGTAGGCAGCTGTAGAGACACACACCTGTGGAGATCGATCTGTAAACACAGGTAGACAGAGACACACACCTGCACGTTACGACAGAGGGAGAATACACAAACACGAAGCACTCACCTGGAGATCGCAGGTGGTGAAAACGATTTCTCAGGTACGTAACACTGTTACTACTACCGCTGCTTCTGCTGATACTACCGCTGATACTGATACTGCTTCTGCTGCTGCTGATACTACCGCTGATACTGATACTACTGCTGCTGCTGCTGCAGATACTGCTGTGCACTGCTCTTGCTGACAGTGCCGCTGCTGCTGCTACTATTGCTGATGCCACGATTGATAATGATATTGTTGCTGATACAACTGCTGCTGCTGCTGTTGCTACTATTGCTGATGCTACTATTGATAATGATATTGTTGCTGACACAACTGCTGCTGCTGTTGCTACTATTGCTGATGCTACTATTGATAATGATATTGTTGCTGACACAACTGCTGCTGCTGTTGCTACTATTGCTGATGCTACTATTGATAATGATATTGTTGCTGACACAACTGCTGCTGCTGTTGCTACTATTGCTGATGCTATTGATAATGATATTGTTGCTGACACAACTGCTGCTGCTGTTGCTACTATTGCTGATGCTACTATTGATAATGATATTGTTGCTGACACAACTGCTGCTGCTGTTGCTACTATTGCTGATGCTATTGATAATGATATTGTTGCTGACACAAATGCTGCTGCTACTGCTGGCACTGCGGATGATGCTGCTACTGCTGCTGGTGTCGATTACAACAGCCCGGCGTTTCCAAATAATGAGAGCGCCTTTCAGAAGGCGTGATTCAAAAAGTTGTAGAAAGTTGACTCCCTCCCCCCCCCCAGATGTGCGGGTAACAAGTTGATCCAACAGGTTTACAACAATTGTCGACCCCACGCCAAAAAATAATTGTAGGCATTGATGCCTACACACGCTACACACAATAGAGTCAGTAGGTACTGTCGACATCGATCTGTATACAGAGGCAGACAGAGACACACACCTGACGAGCTAGATATGCATACTGCTGTTTCTATTAATAAAGCAACAGCTGCTGCTACGACAATTGCCTATGACTGTTGCTACTGATACAGAAACAGCTGCAGTTGCTGCTGCTATGAATACCGACATAAAGGAACACATCCTTCGCTGCTGCTGCGTTGGCATTAGCGCACAACCACAATCAACAACAACATAACTAACTCTACACGTTCATCAGTGTGGCTTGAAATGCCATGAGCTCTGTGGTATAGTGTTTTGATGAGAGCATTCTTTTGAGACGGGTGGTGGTGGGAATCAGGTTTCAAGTAGGAATCTGTGTGGGTGGCTTTCCTGTAAACAGAATGTCCCAAGGATCCATCAGGTCTCCTCTCAAACAGAACATCTAAGAATGGTAGTTTACCATCTTTCTCCACTTCCATGGTGAATCTGATGGATGGGTGTCTGGAATTGATGTGGTCCAGGAAGTGAGTGTGAGTGAGCTGTGTGTATGAGCTGTGTGAGTGAGCTGTGTGTGTGAGTGAGCCGTGTGTGAGTGGATCGACCGTCAGCTTTTCCGTGGCCGTCATGCTGTTGCTTCTTGGGCCTCCGAGCTGCGGGGTGCACCACAACACGAAGTGGGCAGCTCGCGATCACGTGACGCACTTCAACCAATCCGGGGGCGTTAATCACAGTCACAGAATGACAGAGGGACAGATCTGGGCTTATATATATATTATATACTATGCTGCTACTGCTGATGATATTCTACTTTTGTAAAGTGGCGCATTTCATCTGGAGATTTCACTGTGCCACCACCGTGTTTGGAAAGTCAAGAAACAAACAAAATCTGCACGGTACACGGCCAGAACTAGCTGTGGGTAAAATCCAGTTTACTCACCCGCTCACTCACTCACTCACCCACTCCCCCACCCACGTACTCAGCCACGTAACTGCTTACTCACTCACCCACACACTCACTCACCTACACACTCACTCACTCGCTCACCCACTCCCCCACCCACTCAACTACTCACTCCCTCACCCACACACTCACCAACCCACTCACTCACCAACCCACTCACTCACTCAGAACTAGGTTGAGCGGCCAGAACTAGGGGATGGAGGCCAGTTTAAAGAGGTGAGCTTTCGAGACGGGACTTCAATATCTCTAACGACTCTGATTGTCTTATTAGCAAGGGCACTGCACTGGCAAAAAAATCCCCATCACCCCCAGGAACAGAGCCCTTGACCTCTAAGTCCTTAGAATGCGACGATGCGAAGATATCAGGGACCTCGTTTGAGAATGCACGTGGATCAGTTCCTGCAGACACTGCGGGGCTAACCACATCGAGTGCCTTGCAGGTCAGCGGCTAGCAGGATCTCACAGTCCACTCGAGACTTGAGTGGTAGCCAGTGCAGAGACGGGATAGCAGCTGTGTGATGTGCAGACCCGAAACGGTGTGCGCATTCGGACATGATGATGATGATGTTGTTGTTGTCGTTGATTCGGGGTCAGGACAGATGCGAAGGAGGAGGAGGATCTATCCTCAACTCCGATGACCTGTGATCTTTGCAGGAACCTATTTCGTCTTCTCCATCCTGGGTAAGGTCACTTCGTAAGTAGAATAATCCTCGTCTCGGTGTATCAAGTCGTTGGCAGTGAACTGCGCCAACCACATTGTGTCACTTAGCGAGTGTTTCTTTATTTAAATCGACGTAGTATAACACATTCCTGCGGAGGGAGCTGGTAGGAACGTTGGGTTGCTCGGTCAATGGCCAGGGTCAACGACGGCGTGGTGTATTCCGCAAATATGGCCGACTGTGAGGGCGGGCACAAGCCGGCGTGAGTAGGTTAAACGTTGAGTTTTATAAGGGCACCACGGGGTGACCAGCCCCTCCCCACCCCACCCCTCCCCACCCACCCCACCCAGCCCCACCTTGCCCACCCAGCCCCTCCCCTCCCCACCCAGCCCCTCCACACCCTCCCCACCCAGCCCCACCCACCCCTCCCCATCCAGCCTCACCCTCCCCACCCAGCCCCTCCCCACCCTCCCCTCCCCACCCAGCCCCTCCCCACCCAGCCCCTCCCTGCACGACGGACACAATAATCCCCTGTGGGCTGATGTAACCAGGAGGTTCCTACCGGTATAAATAGGGTTAGTCCTCGACTCGCGTGCGGTGTTCGCACAACGCGATTCTGCCCTTCGTGAACACGCGTCACCCGTTATAACGCGGTTTCTGAGCGGGCGGCTAAGAACTACTTTCTTGAGCTGCGCCAATCGAATCACTTTCGTCAAGTGGACAAATGCCGCGATTCGATAAAAAAAAATAATCCCAATTAGAACTCATAATTATCATAATCATAACGCGCACCCTAACTCAGAGCCACAACTTGCTTTTAACTTTTTTGAACTGTATAAAATAGTTGTTTAATGTTAATGTGTGTGTGTATGTAACGATGTGATGATGCGGAATTTGGTGGCAGATTTGTGCCAGAACGGACGCCACACATGTTCTAACCCAAAGTAAATTAGACTTGACCATCATCATCAATCATCATCAACTTTTCGATAATTATCGTTATCATCATCATTAACCGCACTCCCATCATCATCATCAGCAAAGACAAAGATCCCCCGTCTAGCCTCAACTGACTATAGCGGCAAGTGCTGTTAGCGAGCACCTATGAAGGCCGACAACGGCACACGAGGTGATGGGTGGCCAGCACCACGCCCGACCGCCTTTGTCTCCCCAGTGGCGATGTTTATCACACCGCACCAGGTACTCATTTGAGGCTGAGTAGACTTAGGGGAGGCTCAGAACCGGTTCAGATAATCATCATTGCTGGTGTTGGCCGTGAGTTTGAATCGAATTCGGGTCGCCGGCTTTGTAGCACAATGCGCTAACCGCTACACCACCGCTCCCCACTACACACAAAGACAAAGATCCCCCGTGTAGCCTCAGCAGACGATTCGGGCAAGTGCTGTTAGCGAGCACCTATGAATGCCGACAACGGCACACGAGGGGGTGGGTGGCCAGCACCACGCCCGACCGCCTTTGTCTCCCCAGTGGCGATGTTTACACACCGCACCAGCCACTCATTTGAGTCTGAGTCGACCTAGAGGGCGGGGGGGGGGGGTTGCCCAGGACCAGCTCACATAATAATCGCTGTCGTTCGCCCGTTGAGCGTGGAATCGAACTCGCGTCACCAGTGTTCACGGCGCAGCGTAGCGCTAACCACCGCGCCACCGCTCCCCGTCAACAGCTCCTGCTGCCGCAAACCGTCGGGCAGTGCCTCGACCATGACCGCCTTCCGCGGTGTCTTCACGCGCCCCTTCCTCCGCGCCCTCGCGTCGGAGCTCGCGGGCACCGCCCTCTTCCTGCTCCTCTCCCTCGGCTCCGTCGTTGCCTGGGCCGGCTCCGACCGAAGCCCCGGGGTGACCCACACCTCGCTCGCCTTCGGCCTCTCGCTCGCCACGGCAGTCCACTGCTTCGGGCACGTGAGCGGGGCGCACCTGAACCCCGCCGTCACGGTCGCGATGCTCGCGGCGCGCAAGACGACGCTCGCCAAAGCTGCTCTCTACGTTGTCGCCCAGTGCCTTGGGGCTACGGTGGGCGCCGGGCTACTCGTGACCGTCACTCCCGAGGAGTTCCGCGGGTCGCTGGGGGTCACACGGGTGAGGCTGCGTTGGTTGTGCGCGTGTTCTAAAAGAAATGTTAATGGGAAGAATACGTTTTTTTTTTTATTTCGATTGAAAGCTTTCGTGACTGCAGGGATTCATCTTGTTGGTTCTTTCGGTAAAGTCACGTAGAAGGGAAGTAATAAATAATAAAAATAAAAGACAATAAAATTATATTGTTGGTTCTTTCGGTAAAGTCACGTAGAAGAGAAGTAATAAAATAATAAAAATAAAACATAATTAAATAATCATCACGACGTTTCGGCCACAACGCAAGCAGCCGTCCTCAGGTGGAGAACAGGTCTGTCGAGAAGACAGAGTCAGATCTGTTCTTCACCTGAGGACGGCTGCTTGCGTTGTGGCCGAAACGTCATGAGAATTATTTTACTATGTTTTATTTTTATTTTTTTATTACTTCCCTTCTACGTGACTTTACCGAAAGAACCAAGAAGATATTTTTTTATTGTTTATACTCATTCATTCGCCCCGAACCACCCTCAATATTCTCGTCGCAGTTGCGTATGAGAATCGGAGTCATACTCGTTGGTTTTTTCGGTAAAGTCACGTAGGTAGAAGATAAAATAAATCACGACGTTTCGGGCGCAACACAAGCGTCCGAAGCTTCGTGATTTATTTTATTTTATCACCGACGTGACTTTACAGAAAGAACCAACGAGTATGGATTCCTGCAGTCACGAAAGCTTCAAATGAAAATCAGAGTCATATTTTTTTTGTCATGGCTAGAGAAATCCGAAGAGCTATGAAGCTCTTTTTTCACGGACGGCATCATTAGCTGCGGTGAGAGTAATGGTAACACAAATCTTCCGTGTAGCCTCAACAGACTGTTGGGGCAAGCGCTGTTAGCGAGCAGCACCTATGAAGGCCGACACGGCACACGAGGGGGTGGGGTGGCCAACACCACGCCCGGCCGCCTTTGTCTCCCGAATGGCGATGGTTTTACACACCGCACCAGGTACTCGTTTGAGGCCGAGTCGACCCAGGGGATGCCCAGGAGCGGCTCAGACAATCGTCACTGTCGTCGGCGTCCGCGCGCGGGAGTCGAACTCGGGTCGCCGGGTTCGCGGCGCAGCGCGCTAACCGTTGCACCACCGCTCCCCGCACCGAGCAACCCAATCTGGTGCACGCTGAACTTCTTTCGCACCGTACGTAGCCAACCGTGTCGATCGGATATGCGGGGTAAGGCCTACACATCGATGCCCCCTTGGCACACACACACGCACACACACAACACACCACCACCACCACGTCCTTCTCCCACCCTCCCCCTCTCTCTCCACCCTCCCTCCGCCCAGGTGAGGGAGGGTCTGGGCGTGGGCCGCGCCTTCCTGGTGGAGGCGGCGGTCACGCTGCTGCTCGTCCTCGCCGTCTTCTCCGCGGGAGACGCGCGGCGCCGGGACTCCTCATCGGGGCCTCTCGCGATCGGCCTCAGCGTCACCGCGGGGCACCTCTTCGCTGTACCGCACCCCACCCCCCTCCAGCCCCCAACCCCCTCCAGCCCCCAACCCCCCCCACCCCCCAACCCCCTCTAGCCCCAACAGCCCCAAGCCCAAACAGCCCCCGCAGCCACTCCACCCCCCCCCCCTCCAGCCCCCCCACACTGCAAACTCCAAATATACAGCAGCAGGCGTCAGATTCGGGACCGAACCCACGACCTCCTGTATACCAGGCGACGTAGTTAACATCTCCTAGCCACCGTGATGATGATGAGTGAGAGACACCGCAAACTCCAAATATACAGAAGGCGCCAGGGTCGGGATCGAACCCACGACCTCCTGTAAACCAGGCGAGGTAGTTAACCTCTCCAAGCCACCGTGGCGCCCGATGACGTCTCAAGGCAATGGTACCCGTGTGGTGACGTTTCGGGCAATGGACCTCCCTGTGATTGACAGGGGTTGCCAACACCTCCCTGTTTAACCCCCCCCCCTTGCGTGTGTACCCTTGCCGCCCAGATCCCGTACACTGGTGCCTCCATGAACCCCGCGCGCTCATTGGGACCGGCCCTCGTTATGGGAAGCTTCGATGACCACTGGGTTAGTCCATTCCACGAATGGGGTGATTTGACATGGGAGTGTGTAGTGTCCGCATCCTTGATAAGTTCTCGCCCACAGCACTTGCCCCTCAAGGCTATACGGGGGATCTTTGTGTTTGTTTCTGACTTAACGCTTTCGTGACTGCAGGAATTCATATGCTTGGGTCTCTCGGTAAAGTCACGTAGATAGGTTCAACCCAGCAGCTTAAATATACGCTGCCAAGCCTGGTGGTGTTTCATTCAGACGCTGTCTTTCCCACAGACCTGTTCTTCACCTGAGGACGACTGCTTGCGTTGTGGCCGAAACGTCGTGAGAATGATTTTATAATGTTTTATTTTTATTATTTTATTATTTCCCTTCTACGTGACTTTACCGAAAGAACCAAGAAGATGAATCCCTGCAGCCACGAAAGCTTTAAATCGAAATTTAAAAACTACAACGTTTCAATCGCAACACGAGCAATCGATTGCTTGTGTTGCGATCGAAACGTCGTAGTTTTTTGCTATCTTTGTTATTTTATTTGAACCTATCTACGTGACTTTACCGAAAGACCCACTAATATTTTCGTGTTTGTTGTATGTGGGGAGCGCTCGTGTAGGGATTAGTGCTACGATGCTCACGGCCAACACCAGTGACGATAATCTTAACCGGTCCTGGGCCTCCCCTAGGTGGACTCAGCCTCAAATGAGTACGTGGTGTGTAAAAATTGCCACGAGGGAGACAAAGGCGGTCGGGCGTGGTACTGGCCGCCCATCCCAACGTGTGCCGTGTCGGCCTTCACAGGTGCTACTCGCTAACAGCACTTGCCCCAACAGCCTGTTAAAAGCGATACGGCGGATCTTCGTCTCGAGCGCAATTATATTTTCGTCAGCTGCGAAACGCTGTGCAGAATATAGCTGCCTCCACCACCATACCCCCCCCCCCCCATCTCTGTCTCTCTCACCGTCTGTCTCTCTCTTTGCCCACCCCCTCTATCTCTCTCCCCCTCCCTCATCTCTGTCTACGTCTCTGTCTCTGCCCCCCCCCCTTTCTCAACGTCTCTGTCTCTCTGCCCCCCCCCGCCCTCATCTCTGTCTCTCTCTGCCCCCCCTCTCTCAACGTCTCTGTCTCTCTGCCCCCCCTCTATCTCTTTCTCCCCCTCCCTCATCTCTGTCTACGTCTCTCTCTCTCTGCCCCCCCCCTTTCCCAACGTCTCTGTCTCTCTGCCCCCCCCGCCCTCATCTCTGTCTCTCTCTCTGCCCCCCCCTTTCTCAACGTCTCTGTCTCTCTGCCCCCCCCCCGCCCTCATCTCTGTCTCTCTCTCTGCCCCCCCCTTTCTCAACGTCTCTGTCTCTCTGCCCCCCCCGCCCTCATCTCTGTCTCTCTCTCTGCCCCCCCCTTTCTCAACGTCTCTGTCTCTCTGCGCCCCCCCCGCCCTCATCTCTGTCTCTCTCTGCCCCCCCTCTCTCAACGTCTCTGTCTCTCTGCCCCCCCCCGCCCTCATCTCTGTCTCTCTCTGCCCCCCCTCTCTCAACGTCTCTGTCTCTCTGCCCCCCCCGCCCTCAGCTCTGTCTCTCTCTGCCCCCCCTCTCTCAACGTCTCTGTCTCTCTGCCCCCCACCGCCCCCATCTCTGTCTCTCTCTCTGCACCCCTCTCTCAACGTCTCTGTCTCTCTGCCCCCTCCCCCCGCCCCCATCTCTGTCTCTCTCTCTGCCCCCCCTCTCTCAACGTCTCTGTCTCTCTGCCCCCCCCGCCCTCAGCTCTGTCTCTCTCTGCCCCCCCCTCTCTCAACGTCTCTGTCTCTCTGCCCCCCCGCCCTCATCTCTGTCTCTCTCTCTCTGCCCCCCCTCTCTCAACGTCTCTGTCTCTCTGCCCCCCCCCCGCCCTCAGCTCTGTCTCTCTCTGCCCCCCCTCTCTCAACGTCTCTGTCTCTCTGCCCCCCCCCGCCCTCATCTCTGTCTCTCTCTCTCTGCACCCCTCTCTCAACGTCTCTGTCTCTCTGCCCCCCCCGCCCCCATCTCTGTCTCTCTCTCTGCCTCCCCTCTCTCAACGTCTCTGTCTCTCTGCCCCCCCCCGCTCTCAGCTCTGTCTCTCTCTGCCCCCCCCTCTCAACGTCTCTGTCTCTCTGCCCCCCCCGCCCCCATCTCTGTCTCTCTCTCTGCCTCCCCTCTCTCAACGTCTCTGTCTCTCTGCCCCCCCCCCCGCTCTCAGCTCTGTCTCTCTCTGCCCCCCCCTCTCTCAACGGATCTGTCTCTCTGCCCCCCACCTCTCCCACCTCCGTCTCTCTCTAACTGCCCCCCACCCACCCCACCGCGCCCTCTCTGACCCAAGGTCTACTGGGTTGGCCCCACGGTGGGCGCCGTGGTGGCGGGAGCCGCCTACCGCTTCCTGCTGTGCCCGGACTCGGAGCCTCCGGCTCGTGGCGCTCCAGAGTCGCCCGCCGACTCAGAGCCGCAGTGGTCGCGGTGGCCGGAGCAGCTGGCCCCCCGGGATGACGACCAGAGGCTGTCGGCCGCCCACGAACTCTCCCCGCCACCCCACGCCGCGTCGCGCTCCGAGCGAGAGCCCGAGCGCCTCGTGCTGAGCCCCACGGTGCACGTGATCCAGCTGGAGCGGTCCGGGGGAGAGCACGCGCAGCGCAAGCGCAGCTCCTCAGAGCTGTGACGAATGGGGTGCGTGGGTGAGTGAGTGGGTAGGTGAGTGGGTGAGTGAGTGGGTGAGTAGGTGGGTGGGTAGATGAGTGCGTGGGTAGGTGAGTGGGTAGGTGAGTGGATAGGTGAGTGGGTAGATGAGTGGGTAGGTGGGTGTGTAGGTGAGTGCGTGAGTAGGTGAGTGGGTAGGTGAGTGGGTCGGTGAGTGGGTAGGTGAGTGGATAGGTGAGTGGGTAGATGAGTGGGTAGGTGGGTGTGTAGGTGAGTGCGTGAGTAGGTGAGTGGGTAGGTGAGTGGTCGGTGAGTAGGGTAGGTGGGTAGGTGAGTGCGTGAGTAGGTGAGTGTATAGGTGAGTGCGTGAGTATGTGGGTGGGTAGGTGAATGTGTGAGTAGGTGGGTGGGTGGGTTTGTGGATGAGCGGGTGGGTGAGCGAATGGATGAGCTCCTCCAAGCTGTGATGCACGGGGTGGACTCGTGAGTAGGTAAGTGCGTGCGAGAGTGAGTGAGTGGACGAGTGTGGGTGGGTAAGTGGGTAGGTGAGTGGGTAGGTGAGTGGGTGGGTGTGTGGGTGGGTGAGTGGGTAGGTGAGTGGGTGGGTCAGTGGGGGTGTGGGGGTGAGTGGGTGGATGAGTGGGTGGGTGTGTGGGTGGGTGGATGTGTGGGTGGGTGGGTGAGTGGGTGGGTGGGTGAGTGGGTGGGTGGGTGAGTGGGTGGGTGTGTGGGTGGGTGAGTGGGTGGGTGGGTGAGTGGCTGGGTGAGTGAGTGGGTGGGAGGGTGAGTGAGTGGCGGAGTGAGTGGATGGATGAGTAAGTAAACGAGTGAATGAATAGGTTCATGTAAAAGACAGGTGAGTGAGTGGATACGAGCCTAAGTAAGGTGGTGAGTGAATATGTGGTTACGTGACGAGTGGGTGGATGTGTGGTAAGTGAGTTGATGAGTGTGTAAGTGAGTTGGTATGTGTGTAAGCGGTTAGGTGAGTAATTCAGTTACAGGTAAGTGAGTGGATTAGGGTCTGAGTGAGCCGGTGATTGAGTGAATAGGCGAGTAAGTGCACGATTGGATAATTGAATGATTGAATGGCGTTATGAGTGAGGGTGAGAGACAATTTTAAATGTGAACCACTATTCCATTTTAAATTCTTTCTAAATATACGTAACATATAATACGTATAAAAAACACACGTTTCAAAATATATTGTAATGAAAACGGAAAACCATGAATATACTTGTGCTGAATGTGTTGTTTATACTAACGAACCGTTGGCAATAATGATGATAAACCAGGTGCAGAGGATGATCATTATTTAACACTAGTATCTAGTGCGGTATGAAATACAACATGTAGTTAAGATGTTCAAACAACAAACAGAAACCTTTTGCAGGGAATCTAGTCACTCAAGGCCGTAATTTTAATAGAAATATTCTCAAAATGCTCCCCCCCCCCCAATATATTGCTATAAAATAGATTTCTGTTTATATGATTGTGGTTATGGTTGTACTTTATTAATCCCTAATCTCTGCCATTACATACATTGAAACAAGAAAAGGTAAAAAATAAAAAACATAGCAATGTAATACAATACACTATTAGACAGTATTGCAAAAAAATAAATAAAAAGTCCATCCCATGTGTTAGTGAATTTTTAAAATATTTTACGCAGGAAATGGCAGGAAATGAGTTTTCGAATTTAGATTTTTTTCTGGGGGGGGGGGGACCCCCAGACCCCCTGCAAGATTTGGTCCCCCCCAATGTTGACTCCATGGCTACGGCCTTGTAGTCACTGCATTCACCACACACACAGAGTAATTGTGGTGAACATACGAACAAAACACTCGCTCTGGTCATATCTTGCATTGCCTGTGGAACTGATTGGTCCACTCCATAGACAACGGCAGCCTTCTCTATGGCCTCATCTCACCGCCAGCGTTAGACCAGGGTTCAAGTTCAAGTTTCATATAGCCCTGTGAGCCATTCGGCTCTTGAATCGGGTGCAACCGCAACAAACAAAAAACAAAAACATGAACAAGAAAACATCTTAAAGTGACTATGTGCAAACAGAAAATCCAAGAAAAGACAGCAAAAATATTGCAGAAAAAGCACCGTACACCAACACTGTGTGCAAAAATCCCAGTGGGATGCAAGTCAAACAACAACAACAACCACAAGACAACTTAGATTAAGGCCATCAGTCTAACTCTGTATTACAACAAACAAACATGGCCAAACCAAAAAACTTTTCGAAAATCATCAAAATAAAGCCATAAAAGCAATTAAACAGTGGTCATAGGAACTGACCGAATTTTCACAATAAACGACGAAAACAACATGTACCACCAAACTCTGCAGCCATAGCTGGCTGCATGAGTCACTCCACAACAGCAGGAGCATCAGTCGGAGTATCAACATTTTTCAATGCACCTTTAAGATCAGCACACAGAGAACGCCAAAAGTCGAACAGCACAAAGACAACGCCACTGAGAAGGCATTCATAGCTCGTGGTGAGCAGCTACAACATGGGACCTTGGAACCTCATTTGCCAGTAAAAATATGATAATCGTTTTTTTACCCTTCTATCTGGCAACAAAACTGACACCTTTTTTTTACAAGGAGTCATGTTTACATAAACCACAATACCGGCAGTCATAATGCAAACAAAAAAACTAAACTCTGATAATGTATGCACTGTCCTTGAAGTTGATTGGTCCACACCCGAGACAGCTTTCCTTAGAGCCTAGTCTCACATGGGTTGGACCAGATGACGCCAAAAGGCGCACAACTCAAAGACAATGCACCATCAGAGTATGAGAGCTCGGGGTAAGCATTTACACCATTGGAACCTCATTTGCCACTAAAAATATATTAGTTTTTTTACCCTTCTATCTGGCAACAAAACTGACACCTTTTTTTGTTTGCATTATGACTGCAGGTATTGTGGTCTATGTAATCATGACTCCTTGTAATAAAGAGGTGTCAGTTTTGTTGCCAGATAGAAGGGTAAAAAAACAATTAACATGGGACCTTTCGTGCCGATATCAAAACATCGGAATATGTTTGACTCTTTCTAGCAATAAAACATAATAAAATAATTCTCACGACGTTTCGGCCACAACGCAAGCAGCCGTCCTCAGGTGAAGAATGAAACACCACCAAGCTTGGAGCGTATATTTAAGCTGGTGGTGTTTCATTCCTCACCTGAGGACGGCTGTTTGCGTTGTGGCCGAAACGTCGTGAGAATTATTTTATTATGTTTTATTTTTATTATTTTATTACTTCCCTTCTACGTGACTTTACCGAAAGAACCAAGAAGATGAATCCCTGCAGTCACGAAAGCTTTAAATCGAAATTTCCCTGCATCAACTACACACACAGTACTTGTGGTAAACATGCAGACAGACACGCCCAGAGTTTAACACGGAGGAGGCTTTCGCGACAAATATTGGGGTTAGGGGCCGTCCATAAATGACGTCACGCGATTTTGGACGATTTTTAACCCCCCCCCCCCTCGTCACACGGCGTCAGAAAAGTCAGACCCCCCCCAAATATGACGTCACAAAACTCTGCCACCCCCCCCCCAAAATAAAACATGCTTCAAATCGCTTTAAACTATTGTCATTGTAGTGCGTATTTAATGTGGCGCTGCACTCTGATTGTTGTAGGAGAAAACATTTATTAAAAAGTCTATTTAATTAAGTAGAACGTGTTGTCTGTATTTATTTAAAGTTGCGCATTTTTATGTGACGTCACATTTCTCAAACCCTTCGCCCCCTCGTCACACATCGTCACAAATGTCTCACCTCCCCCACCCCACCGAGTTGCCTCCGAAACGTCGTGATTTTTATTTTATTTTTATTTTACTTTTATTAATTTTAAATTTTTTACCTACGTGACTTTACCGAAAAAACCTAAGAATACAACAAAAATGTGTTCATCATAATACATTCGCTTGGCGTTGCGTATCGGTGCGTTTTGTCGTGGTCACGTGGGGCTGACCCCCCGCCGCCGTCGCCACCTCAACTCCCCTCCGTGCACATTCGAAATTTCTCCTGCACGGCTTCCACACCGCAGCCTGCGTCTCTTTCTTTCGTTCTCTCTGCCCCTCTGGAATGACTTTTGAGAACCGTTTTGCCCCTAGAGAGAGATAGGGGGGATGGACGTTCCTCCTGCTGCTGCTACAAATAGTTACCATGTGGTGGCACTGCTGTACCACCTGACAACCAAGCACGTCACGCGACCTCCCCACTCCCACATGAATAACACATACTCTTTGGTGCTTTCGGTAAAGTCACGTAGGTACAAAATGAAATCAATCACGACGTTTCGGGCGCTTGTGTTGCGCCCGAAACGTCGTGATTTATTTTATTTTGTGTTGCGCCCGAAACGTCGTGATTGATTTTATTTTCTACCTACGTGATTTTACCGAAATAACCAAAGAGCATGGATTCCTGCAGTCACGAAAGCTTCAAATCAAGATTGAATAAAACAATTGGATTGTCTCCCGTTAATATCAAAGCAATAATGGTGGAGGTTTTATTTGGTGGGTATCAATGTATGTACCGATTTGTTTTGAACTTTTTTCACACCGTACGTAGCCAACCGTGCTAATCGGAGGAGCAGGGTGGGGTTATCAACAGCGGCCTCGCTTCTGCAGGGGCGCCACGGTGGCTAGGAGATGTTAACTACCTTGCCTGGTATGCAGGAGATCGTGGCTTCGATGCCAAAGCTGACGCCTGCTGCGTGTTTGAAGTTTGCGCGTCTCTTTCTCTCCCCGTGGTGGTCGCGTGGATTTTTTCTCCGCGTCCTCCGAGTTTTTGCCTCCACATTTAGAAATTGTCCACGCGACCAGCCACTGCGACGAGCTATCACCTGTGGCCAAGTCGCTTCTGAGAAAGCGCTACGTAGCTCAAGTGAGGGGGTCTGTCTTACCTGGTAAGAAATTAACCCGTAAAAACAAAGTTTTTCACTATAAATCCTTTATATGCGTGGCATCGGGGCGGCTAGAGTCCTCTCGTCCTCT